GTATTCACCGGAGCGAAAGCGCTTCGTTTGTAAGTGAGTAAAAAGTTCGTTGTTTTACTTTTAATTACATATTTTGGTTACTATTGCACATAAAATTATAATTCTCAGTGCAATGTAAAGATAAACGATGAGCGAAACTTTTTTTAAGAGTAAACTTTTTGATTTAGGCTTCCGTTTATTAAATAATACGATGTAAACGCAAAAGTTGCTCAAAATTTGTCAAATTTTTAGGGATATCGAACTGAGATAATCGCGTTTGAAGTTTAATTCTTCCGTAAAACCCAATGTAATTGGAAACGTTTGATAATTTATTATTACTTTCACTGTACAAAGAAAATTTTGATTTATATACAAAAAAATTCGTTATTTTTTCTTCTTTCCGTACATGTGCTTAACTGGTTTTTTGCGTTTTGTGACCTAATGCATGGTCCGATTTTGGACGGCCTTGACATTTAGAATCAGTATATGATGACCTTTCATTTTTTGTGAATTTCAGCTTGTGACACCAAAACCCCCACGGAAGTCATAATTTCTGCCACGGAGCACTCTACTATGAAATATATTCCTGCAATTTTGGAAATAATTTGCGAATTGTAGCCTCCCTAGATCGCGCCTTGTCAGGGTATCTTTCGGAAAAAAGACGGCAAGTGCTGGCCGCTATTCGATTAAATTCACCGTGTATTAATATTAAATTCAAAAAATCTTCATTAGTGTAACCCAAGATGAGCCATTATTGAGGAGAAATAAAAGTTCAAAACTGTTCAAGAAGCGAAAATTTTACGTTTAGATTTATCAGAATAAAAACAAAAGAATAACATCAAGCGACTTAATTTTTTTTAATCAATTTGCTACAAGAAGTGACTAAAGCCCGTTGTAACGATCACTTATTTAGTCAAATTTTTGGTCCTTTTTTACTTCAATAAAGGTAATGCTATCCTAAAAATGTCATAAATGATGAAACTGTATGTAACATTCCATAATATTGTCCATTTTTTAGTACCAGTAAAATGTAAACATTTGTACATAACCTATGTTATATTAAATCTGGAGACTAAATATTTATCTTCTGTAAACTAAGGTCTCTATCTATTGTCAACGTATTGTAGTGAGCTTTAAAAACTAATATAAATTTAATTTTAATTTTACAAATTCCCTATAATCTGTCAAAAGTTACTAAAAAATTGAGGGAAAAATAGGACAGGTTCTAAACATTACAAAAATACAAAATAACCTGGACAAAAATAGGACAACTTTCAGTTCCTAAAATAACTATCAAAAAATTGATCAAAGTTGAAATGTTCAATTTTTTTGTCCCTAAAAAAATTACTTAAAAATTGACTAAATAAATGATCGTTACAAAAACATGGAATATCTGGGAAACCGTTTGAAGCAGCCTTTGACATTTTGTATCAAATTAAAGGTATCGGAAAAAGGAAACCAACAGTGAAGAAAAAATGGGGAGTGCCTTTGAAAAAATAGTGTTACGGATATTTAAAAATTTAAAAGTTCAGAGCTTTGAAAAAGTGTTTTTAGACGGTTGCGCATACCATAAGAAAATGCGACCTGTCCTTAATAAAGCAGTGAAAACTGTTTTGCAATATCTCTCACCGTTTTCGAATAATAAATTTTTAAAATTACTCTTGCAAATTCCATTTTTGGCATAAAAACTTTAATATCGACGAAGCCCTTGGAGAAAAAGGTCAACTATATGGGGTATCGTTGTCAGTGCCGTATTTATATAAGGGGCAAAAATTGTAAGGGCGGCATATTTGGAGGAAAACAGAAAAATTAAAATGCGTTCAAATTTTTTAGGTAAACGGTGAATCGGTAAATGAAATGAAGCAAAAATAAAATCTGTTAGTACATTCATTGCATTGCAAATATAGCCAATGAATGCCTTACTTTTTTTTAGTCAAAGGGAGCGTTTGCGCTGTAATAATGGTGATACATATAGTGATATGTCAAGGGAGGCAAAAAATGTTTGCCCACAGAAACCCTAAATCCGGCACTGATCGTTGTACTCCAAATTCGGCATAGAAACCGAAAATGTAGAGAAAATAGGGGGTCCCTATAAAAAATAACAGAGTTGATGGCTACTTCCGGTATTTGCGGAAGTGGCGCCATCTTGAAAATATTTTAGTTCAATTCATCATGTGCGAAAACCCTTAAGAGACTTATCAGTTTAGTTTCATTTTCAAGGGTTCTCCATATCTTTCTAACTGGCGCTTGTCAAAAATGACCCTGTGGCCTGTATGCAAACGAAAAGCTTCTTAGTCAATTAATTCTAAGAACGTATCATACGTCCACATTCGACTTCATTCGTTATCGTCAGTGACTACTCGTTTATCGAGTTGATGCCTCGATATCGCTCTAGAAAATTCTCGACAATTAAAAGAAAAAAAAAATGTAGTTAATGTTATTAACCAAAAATAAAGCATTGTGACTTCCGTTCAGAGTTTGCACTAAATTTCTTAGGCCAAAAATAGGAGTTACCACACTAATTTCTACAAAGTTAACCTTGATAATAATAAACAAACATATAAAATATATTTACCGAAAATGAACCAAAACCAGTAAGAGGGATAGAGGTTAGAGAGAGTGTGAAAAAAGCAATACAAACGATTATTGACAGTGGACAGTTGTGAAACGAACGCGCAAGTTAAAAAGAAGTTTTAACTATCTAAACCCAAAACATATATATTTGCGCAAAACAAGAATGTACTTTATTTTGGTGTATTAAATATTTTTTTCCTATAATTAATAGTAGGTAATTTATATTTTATAGTAATTTATTTATTTATATTGCAACCCGTTAAAACCGAAAAAAACTAGTTGGAAGTTATTAAAATCGACTATTAGTATTAAAACACCCTGAAAAAGGCGATCAAAATTTAAATTAGTCGTGTGTAGCATCAAGTCAGTATTGTTGATTATGAAAGATTATGAAATGTGTTATCAAACGACGTAGTTTTCGAAAATGGAAAAAAATACAGTGTGGCTTATTTAAAATAAGAAAGTGGCTATTCACATCCGGTAAAACCGGAAGTGAAACGATCATGATCATGTTTTCTTTTGATAGATCATTAAAAACTGTGTCCGTATGCAAATTTTCAAAATCTGAAAACTGTTAGGTAACATTTTGCGTGAAACAGCCTGTATGGTTTGCTTTTTATCCGAAGATGTACCAGACGGTCTTCAAGTTTTTGTGTTTTAAGATCCTCCACTCCACCATAACTTATTCCCTGAGGAGCTGTTTTGAAAAGTACAAAATAAATCAATTTTAAATGTGTATAAGTAGTGTGTATTTAACCCCCAGGTTCTACGCTTACATTACAGTAACATGGACATAAAATCAACCTGGCAACGTTTGTAAATGGCCACAGGAATGCTTACTCCCTCCTAAAGGTAACTGGTTCCCGCTTAAATTTGAAATCGAAAAGTGGCACGTGATCGCGAACATCTATGGCCTTACGTTAGTTGCAAACAACGCGTATGACCTAAAGCGTAGTAGGGAAGGAACGCAAAATGAAACGCTATAATGGCGTAATAGTATAATTCTTACTTTATATTTTATCATTGACTAATACCCCCCCAATTAGTCAATGATTTTATATAAGGTTTTCATTTTGATCAGTTATTTTAACAGTCAATAATCTCGAATGAGCAATAATGAAAATGTTATCAACAGCTCAACACAAAACATATGATTGTAAAAACAGGTTAAAAACAAATTGCAAAACAAATAATTGATTGGAGTAGGTACAACCATCAACGTGCAACAAAACCCTATTGGAAAATTTGCATGGTCTTGCAAAGCAAAATTTAACTTTAACAACAAAATATGTAGATACTATTGAACTGATACTCATATCGCGCACAGCAGTGCTAAACCCAAGAGTTTTTGTTAACAGAGTCCCACCCCTGGAACTCGTGGGGGAAATGCAAGCCTGAGATTCGAGATCAACCACAGTTTTAGATGTTGTAATAGTATTAAATATTTTGGTTACAGTATTCCCATCTCTGGGATTCTCTTTGCAGGGCGAAAATCCGATCACGATAAGGGGCCGAGGAGGAGGACTATGGTTGGTAGAAATTAATTCCTCTCGTTGAGACCTTTCATTAGAGTACCATATGAAAGATAAAACTAGCCCCCCTCCCCTCCTCTTTTGATAAGGAGGCAGAGAGAAGGGTGGTAGTTGATAAAAACAGTCGTTCCTTTTGAGACGACAAAATTTGTTGACGGTCTGGCACACCTTCAAGATATAGGCTACGTATTGCGAAAAATTCCAGGACTCATAAGACCATTCCCCTAAAAGTAGTTGAAAACCGCAGAAGTGGGTCCGGGGCGGGGCGGATCGACAGACGGGCGGGCGGACAAAACGCAAACAATAAATAAACAATAAATAAACAATTTTTTTTATTTCGTAAGAAATCGTGAAAAAAGGTAACATTTTCCAATCGACTTTTTCACAAAAAAAGTCCGGTAACTTAATCACTAAAAAAACTGTTTTTTTCGACACACGCGCCATAAATGTAATATGTGTTGCCTATAACTAGGTACCCTATGAAGCAGGTTTTGGACGAATATGATAATATAACCAAAACATCAATTGATAGTATGAAATTGTTTTTTAGTCCCCAAGATTGATTCTATTTCATAATCTTGTTGCGCCCTCTCCATGTTGGTAGTCACAGCGGGTTTGTGAATAACTAAAAGAAAAATTTGTTCTACTTCCTCTGTCCATTATTTTGTTTAGAATTATACTGTCGAGTCGCGCTATCGACAGCTTCGCATAGGTTATTGTTATGAAATTTTTGCAGATCTGACTGTGGAAGCATTCCCCATCAAACGATCCAATGGAAAAATTTAAATTTATAATCGCACGGAGAAAAAGTATGCAATCTTTAATGGAAAATGTAAAAATTATTTATAAACTTTCCCCTCCACGTAGGTATTTTTAAATGGCAAACTTAAATCGGTGTTTGGATGTGCGTTTCCTGTTATGCGCAGTGTGGAAGCACAAAGGCGACTCCATATTAGTGGTAGGCGGTTGCCGTGCAATAAAAAGTTAGTTTTTGTTTCGGAAGGTGTTGCAGGATTGTGACGTTGTGTTGTAGATTAGAAACGAAATAAATTACTTGCTGGTTTGGGTACGGTTGCTCCGCGGCGCTCGACGAATAAATCGGCGCCTTGTTAACCTATATTATACCTACAACGGCCGTGTGACCATATACAGTGTATTTATTTTTCTAACTTAAATCTTGTTATTCCTTTAATTAAGTAATATGGCTTCGATAACCTTGTTATAGTAATTAGATTAAACTTAATACATAGGGAATATAAGAACAAATTAGTGGTTTGAAATTGAGTACCACACCCAGCAAACCGCGATGGACGTTCTTCAAAGAACTATAAATTATCTATAAGTGCATTCAGTGTTAATTAATTGTGGATGGTAACGAGGTCGAGCCTCGATTTTTGTGCCGAGCATGACCATGGCGTGCTGTCAGTCGGACGAGGTTAGGGAGCAAAAGCGTATTAACCAAGAAATAGAGAAGCAATTACGGCGTGATAAAAGAGATGCACGTCGAGAACTCAAATTGTTGTTGCTGGGTAAGTATCGACACCCCTTAATGCGTTTATTATACAAACACACCATCCATCGGCGATGTTTTATTATTTATATTTCACCCCATGTGATGGGGGAGCTCATTTGTTAAGTATATCCTTGTCTATCATGTGTGTACGGCCTTGAAGAGAAATCTGACTATATTTAGGGCAGTATTTAAACGCAAACAGGATGTCTACGTCCACTTTCCTCTCGAAAATGGGAAATTTCCGTTTACACTCCATAATTTTGTTAATCAAATTTGAAACATATCAATCGAGCGCAGGCTATTTCGTACCTCGAGAAGATTTTAATTATCGTTATCGATAGGATAACCAATTTGTGTATTAAAATTTCCCATCATTTGGTAAATGTATTCAAGATTATATCATTCTGATATATAATTTTAAATTATGTAAGAGTCTATGTTTATTTATCTACACAAATTTTATACCTTGCACTTATTTTTATATGCAAAAAGTAATTTCATAAATTCGTATCACGACGGTCATGTTCACATAATCTACAGGGTGGACACGAAGCGCGGCACTAATTTACACTGTATGTCTCACGAGATATTGACCAAGAAGCTGTTTTACAATCGAAAATTATACCTACCTACGTTGAAATTGTTCATGACCACTTATTCCCTCTTTCAGAAACAAACACAGACCCCCGTAAATAGTTTTAATACATCACGCCACGGAAACATTAAAATTCCGATGTTTGCCTTTCTGGCAACTTTCTGGTACTTTTCGGCGATGTTCTAACATAAAACAATTAGGTCTCAATTTAATCAGGGAAACATTCTCAGAAATTCTCGCATAAATAAGTAATGATTTGTTATGAAAAATGCATACAATTTACTTGGAGGCAATGAGTTTGTACATACTTTTTTTCCATCGAAACTGATCCATAAATAACGATTGTCATTTATTGATTAAAATTTAAACGATTAGAATCGAGCAATTTCAAAGATTTTTTTGACCCGGGTCTCAGAGCAAGCTACCGAACGCAAAAAGAGAATATCTTTATCCGACGGTGTTATATGTCACATTCTTCAAAGTGAAAGTAAAATACGTCTGTGATCTGTGAAGCATCAGATAAAGACGAACGCTTATTTTGAAGGGGAAGAACATCTTTACTCAAGCCGAATCAGGGGCGTAAAACACGTGGTAAGGGCGTCGCACTCGTGCGAATGACTAAAGCGTATTTCTTACGCGCTACCTTCAGCACGTTAAAACAAATTTTACCGTGAGGTCGATGGTGGAATATTACCTACTTATACCATAACTGTCTAAGCGCACTTGGAAACGAAATGTTTAATTGCGCTTTTAATTTAATGTCGTTAGTAGTATCTCCAACTAAAATTTCTCCTCGAATTTCTCCTAAACATCTCTACTCAGAAGAATGCAGTGCAAACTTCGGCGCAAATGTATATGCTTTTGTCTTTAGATCTCCATGTACTATAGTCTATTACATAAAAAGAAAGCACATGGTGCTACTCGCTCTCAGTGAATGAATCCAGAAAACGTTAAAACTGTAGGTACTTATAGTCCGATTCACACTGGGAGTTCAGTATTGGTGTTATGGAAGGTAGCGTTGCCAAATACATATGCTGTCTCAGAAAAGACCAGGGTTGGAGACAGTCCTATAATTCTTTTAGCATAACAATGGCAGGTGTCATTTAGTACAGCTAATAAATCAATACACATCTAGATCAAGGAAATAAGCAATTTATTTATACCACATTGGTACTCAATCATACTTAAATAACGCCCAATTTTTGTAGAATTGTTATGATCGTATACATTACGATAACTGTCTCCCTTACTTACGTGGTTATTTGGTTTTAGTCTCGGTTTTAATTATCCAGCAAGTAGGTACTTACTTATTTTGTGCCGAGTAGGTATTTGTTGAAACAAATTCTTTAGATAGAGTACTTAGGTTAATTAAACAAGTACAAATTGTGCACAACCCTTGTGCAAGTGAAGCGCATTTTTTTAAACACCCCTACGAAATTGCTTCCATAAATAAGAAAGTTGGCACTGCACATGCTACACAAAACCAAATTTGGAAAATGGCGCTACATTTGCTTTTATTCCAAGTGGCTATTTATCAAATTTCATTTGAATGCTTCCATAAATAAGAAAGTTGGCACTGCGCATGCTCAAAACCAAATTTGGAAAATGGTGCTACATTTGCTTTTATTCCAAGTTGCTATGTATGAAATTTCATTTAAATCCCTCTAAAAATAAAAAAGAAAACCAGATTTTGAAACTGGTGTTAAATTTTCTTTTATTCCACGTGGCTAATATTAAATTTCATTTAAATCCCTCCATAAATAAGAAAGTTGGCACTGCGCATGCGCAAAACCAAATTTGGAAAATGGCGCTACATTTGGTGTTATTCCAAGTGGCTATGTATCAAATTTTATTTAAATGCCGAATGGTTATATTTCTTCCAAACGTCCCAATCGCCTAACGGCTCGCCAGTCAACTTCTCCTATCGCCAGTAAAAACTCACTTACCTGGCTAATGATGTAAAATACTATTTCTGTCTTATATCATAACTATGAACATCATGTTGCGTTATAAAAGGTATGCTCGTTCGACTTGGTATGGCATAAGCCTGCTAAAATATACACACGGTAATGTTGCGATGTTTAATGTCTTGAAGGTATTTCGGCAGTCATCCCAATATCTACCATTGGCGACGATCCTGATCGCACGACGGTGTAGCTTGAAGATATACTGGGTGGTGCCTAGCGCGACGCAACATAGGGATTTCAATGGTAATTTCTTTATAGTCAATTACTAGCTCCCCAAATTATTTTAGAAGAGAAAAAAATACTGCATCTGTTCATACCTCGGTTCATACTATTAGTTACGAGGGGTAAACCGCTGCTTGAAGTAGGTGTACAAGCAATTTGAAGTACGCTGAAGTACAATGAAGTACGATGAATTACGTGGAAGTACGCTGAAGTACGTTGAATTCCACTGAAGTACAATGAATTACTTTGAAGTACGGCGAATTTCACAGAAGTACGCTGAAATACATTTCGATTCCAATTTAATGCAATAAATAAAAATGTTTTACGAAAATCGATCTTTGTCTAGTGCAAGGTGAAATAAAGGAACCTAAAACATATATTTTTTTAATACAATTACGTTGATCATTTTTTTAACTCCAATGTAAAAAATTGCATCATACTACAATGATCTTTGATCGAGAGTAGCACCGTTAAGTTTTAAGTTAAGAACATATAGGATTATCTTTTCGCAGTTCTATTTTAAAGACCACTTTGTTAGAATAAGACTTTACGATTTTGCAACTTGCCCGTTGCTTCATTTCGGCTTTTAGCATAATCCCTTATTTGGCAAATTTAAGACTTGTCATTTAGATTACGTGTCACTAAGAGACCTTTTTGAATAGTGTTGTTTTTATAAGAAATAATTTTGTGTCGACCGAGACAGCCGACCATTATCAACAACGTGGGCGACAATGTGCTGATCTCGGTGCAAATTTATTTGTAAAAATTATCAAAGTCCTCGTTTGAGATCGAAGGGACTTCAGCGCATTTTTGTGTGGCAGATCAGTATTCTATTAGCCACTTTCGACTCAACCTTCAATAACAGATCTTGTCGAAGGCTACTACATTCACTAACCGCTTCCCACTTTCCGCGTGCACCCGCAATTCGCTTTTAAAGATTTGACTCCACCATCAGGAAGATCGTGTCGGGGGCTACCACATTTCCTTTGACGGTACCCCCTTCCGACGTCCCGTTCATCCGCAATTCGCGATTGAAGATTTGACTCCACCATCAGTGAGATCGTGTCGCGGGCTACCACATTCCCTTTTACGGTACCCATTTCCGACGTCCCGTTCACCCGCAATTCGCGTTTGAAGATTTGACTCCACCATCAGGAAGATCGTGTCGGGGGCTACGACATTTCCTTTGACGGTACCCCCTTCCGACGTCCCGTTCACCCGCAATTCGCGATTGAAGATTTGACTCCACCATCAGTGAGATCGTGTCGCGGGCTACCACATTTCCTTTGACGGTACCCCCTTCCGACGTCCCGTTCACCCGCAATTCGCGTTTGAAGATTTGACTCCACCATCAGTGAGATCGTGTCGCGGACTACCACATTCTCTTTTACGGTACCCACTTCCGACGTCCCGTTCACTCGCAATTCACTTCTATTGGCGACACGAGAAAGAGAGACAGCGATTCGAGATTCACGAAATTTTAAACCGCGTGAGTTCGCAACGGAAGGTAAAAGGCGCCTGACTACTTCTCGAAGACGCGCGCGCCGCCTCGCAAAAGGTCGTTAATTTCGCCCCTATGACAAAAAAACAAAATTCCGCCACGCAGGAGTTGTGCGCGTTTACAACATCTTTCCGACGACACCAATTTCAAAAGAATCGGACCAAAACTGTAGTAGAAGATAGGAAAAAACTGAAAAACTTCACGTTAGTATACTACGCTCGAGGATGACGCCCAGATGTCGCCAACCCCACATCATGTAGCCATGTCCCTAAGGTTGACAAATTTCACGGCCCTGTAGATACACCCGTTGCCTTTCTACAAGAGTTCTTCTACGCGCCCACATTTGCTGCCAGCCAGCCAGCCAGCCAGCCAGCCAGCCAAAGTGAGATTAAAAGCTACTTTTTACAAATAAATTTGCAAAAATGCGCTAAAAAGTAGCTTTTAATCTCACTTTGGCTGGCTGGCTGGCTGCAAATGTGGCCGCGTAGAAGAACTCTTGTAGAAAGGCAACGGGTGTACGTGTATCTACAAGGCCGTGAAATTTGTCAACCTTAGGGACATGGCTACATGATGTGGGGTTGGCGACATCTGGGCGTCATCCTCGAGCGTAGTTTTTCAGTTTTTTCCTATCTTCTACTACAGATTTGGTCCGATTCTTTTCAAATTGGTGTCGTCGGAAAGATGTTGTAAACGCGCACAACTCCTGCGTGGCGGAATTTTGTTTTTTGTCC